AGTCAAAACAACGACACGAGTCTCAAATTTTTATCATCTGCTTTTACCCATTTTTACGAGTTTACTAATTTTCTAGGCGAATAGGAACTTTTTTTAAGCGCTGTGCGCGTCGACACGTGCCTCCCCCCGCTCCCTTCTCTATACTCACGTGGCCAAACTTATTCATTCTTATTCGCCTGCGCTGGAAGCGTCAGCGGTAGTGGCAGTCCAGCACGCGATCAGTCAAGAAGGAGCGACCAGCGGCGGCCAGTCGAACCGTCCCACACTGCTTGTGTCTATCGCACAATATGTTGGCCAGGGTGTTGGCCCTCCTCGCGCTCTGTGGCCTGAGCCACGCTGCCGAGCTGCGTGAGTATACACTGAAAACACAAGTAGTGTGTGAATGTCACACGCTTGCAGGTGCGTGAACAAAATTGGCACACCTAGCTGTACACGTGTGTGAATCTCAAAGGAAAATTTTCTGCTCACTTTAAGTGTACCAATTGCCGTTCACACACCTAACACACTTGCGTTTCCAATGCAAGGATGCTGACCAATAAAGAGTTCCGCACCGCGCAAACATAATACTGCCGAAAAACGCACTCTGCGATCTCGTTCTCTTGCAGCTGCGATCTTCCAGACCTGCCATGTGAACGACGTCGACTTTAACACCTGCCTCGCTAAGGCCATCGAAGACGCGCTCTACAAGCTAAAAGATGGTAAGGGCGAGGAGTGTGGAAAAGCTTGAGTAGTCAGGCTGCTTCAGTAAGTCCATCTAATTCTTGCATTCTGCTGCTTCAGGCGAGGAGACGCTGGGCCTCGCACCGATCGGCCCCCTCCACGTAGTTGAAATGTCTTTGGATCTGGGCGAGGGCCCCATCTCATTCGCCCTCAAGGTCCGGGACCTGGTCGTCGCCGGCATGGAGAACACCACTATCGTGTCGGTCGAGTGAGTACGATGCCTGCTCGGCCCGAGCGGTGCTCCACACCCGGAAATGTGTATTCTTGTTTCAAGCATATTTAAACCAAGCCCAGAACTTTTCTGGAGTCCAACTGAAATGGTCAGGACTATTCGGAATATACACCAAATATATCTTATTCCGAATAAGCTGATTTTGGCATTACTTAACACTGGCTAAATTAGAGGCAATAAATTTAATCGATATTTAAACGGTGGCTTGCACCGACTACACTTGCGTTTTGACATCTCAAATGACTATTTACTTTAATCTTGCTTGACTGTTTGGCTACCCCCTGAACTGGCAACCTACTTTACACAAAACGGTCAACCCTTCGGATCATCCTCACCCGTAAAGAAAACGAAGACACCTTTTTATTTCTTGTCCTTAGACTCGACCCGAAGAAGCACGTACTCGTCATGAAGTTCAAATTGGACCACCTGCGCCTAGACTTCCAGTACACAGCAAGCGGGCATATCCTCGTGGTGCCGATCAAGGGAGGTGGACCTGCCTTCTTCGAGATGGGTACGAACTCCATATTCATCGAATACGATTAATAGTACTCAAATAATGTGTTATTTTGTATTATTTCCACAAAGAAACGTGTCTTTGATGCTTTAATCCATAATATCAAATCAATATCGAATCACTATTGAATCGATATCGGAACGAATTAATTGATTTGTAAGACACAAAAGTTAATACATTTCCAATGCATTGTCTCGTTTTGAAATCCGTTCGGTGTCACAATTACTTACTGAGTTTTATCTATAAACCGCCTCACTTCTGCATTTCCGTTTCCTCTTTGATCTTTAGACAACCTCTTCGGTACGCACATCGTCTCCACCGAACCTGTTGAGAGGGAGGGTAAGACCTACTGGACGATCGCCAACTACACGATAAACATCGAGCCCAAGGCAATGAGGTGCCACTTCGACGACATCCTCAAGGGCAACTCCGAGGTCAGCGACAAGGTCAACGGATTCCTCAACTCCGAATGGAAGCTCTTCTACAAGCAAATCCAAGGACCGGCAGAAGAAGCGTACGCCAAATTGTTCAAGCACTTGGCTAGCCGCGTGTTCGACCAGGTCCCCATCACGGACATCTTCCGCGACATCTAAGCAGGGGATCGTGAGGGAGTATCATAATATGCTGTTGATCTCACCCACATCAGAAACATCCGCCGCGTTATTGAGGGAAAGACCCCTGCGCGCGTCATTTAACTCATATTTGAATGTAAAACGTCCTATGATCATAAAGTGTACGGTCCAATTTGTCGCTTATTAACTATTTTTATTTTTTTGGTTAATGTGTGTTGCTTTTTTCATATCCCCCTGAAATGTTATCCATCCACTCCTCACCCAGAAACATGAGTCACCCATGCGTGTTGCCCCGAAAAAGCAGGTTTTTACGAGGAGTGCCTTGCCGTGCCTTGCCTTGCCTTCCCGCGGTACATCAGCCATATCTTCGCACTGGCGACATGACGCGGCGTCCCCTTTCACGGACGCGGGTGGGACAATTATTATTGCACGGGGAACGCTACACCTTTGTGTGTTGTCGTGCAAACTTTCTGCTAGTTTCTGTGCCATTGTTAACGACGGCTTTGCGCGCCTCTCGCGTATGAAAAGTATCAGACTGGCCCCTCTTCCTCGTTTCGGCGAAACGTTGAGTAAAGTTTTACACAATTTGTCTAAATTTAGGAACACAATTGCACCCCTTCTAAAAGAGCACGAAAACATTGCTTTTTTAGGAACAAAATTGTCCCTCCACATTCAGAGTAGTGTACAGTGTACTCTTGCCAGCATCTCACCCGGTCTGAATGAATGCTGTTCGTTCATTAGAACACCCTGTTTGCGACTAATGCCAGAGGTTCGACTCCACGGGAACAGACCTCCCCTCCCGTCGTCGAGGTGCAATGTCAATGCTTACCCCACGAGCCCCGCGTTCACCGCGAACCGTTGGCCTTGGGGAGCCGAAGTGCGACTGGATTACCGACAAAGGCAGGCTAGAGAGGCTCACCCGAGTGGCGTGCTGACGGAAACACCTGTTATGGCCTTATAGCAGCGGCGCGCCACTCGGTAGAACGGGTGGGTTTGGATGGATGGATGGATGGATGGATGGATTTGATTTGGTGGATAAATGAATGAGTAAATCGATGGATAAACGGGTGGATAAATGAATGGATAAATGGATGGATAAATGGATGGATTAAGGGATGGATAAATAGATGGATAAATCGACGAAGTGATGGTATACGGGTGACCGGATGGGTGGCGTGTCCCGCCCCGCTCTGCCCACGCTCTGCGCGACCGCCCGGCGGGGTGGGCCAGCCCGCTGCACTCGGGTGTGGCCGCGCGGCCTACCTCCCAGGCGCTCCCCGCGGACAGAGAGAACGAAGCGGCCACGGAACGGTGGAGGAGGAGCTCATCGTTTTGTGCAAACAAAAGAGAGAAAACTAATATGTGTGTGGCTGCCAGAATTTTTTCCCTCGCTGCTGCATCGCGTCCACCTTGTAACGCACCATTGCTGCCGCAAGCGTCCCGCCGTTGAACCTTTTTTCCCCGCGCTCTTTACGTAGGCATGAACCGAACAAAGTGGGACCCTTATCAGCAAATAACGCGAAATAACGCATTTTTTCCCGCTCCCAACTCTTTCCGCCTCTACCTGGCGGTGGTATGGGAATTTCGCGGTATAACAACCGTTTACAGAGCGACCCTTATCGCTTTTCGGCCGGCCCGACAGGAGGGAGGGGCGAAGGCGTAGTAGGGTGGTGGGGTGGCAGCAGCAGAGGTAGGCGCGTGCACTCTATATTCAATTGTCTCTTTATCGATGTATCGCCGAGTGGTCTGCAAGGCGGCGCCCGAGCGGAGCCGCCGCGCTTCTGGAGTGATTGATCTGGAGAAGGCGCTGTCAGCGGGTAATGTATTAAATCTGTCGAAGGGGTTAGTGTGAGGGGTTGCAGGAGGGGTGTGGGCATGTTGTTCGACGTGCGCAGCTTCCACCGCGCCAGCCCATTATCCCATCCCGGGGGGGATAGCTTCCATATCACCACGCGCGGCGCGTGCTGGAGGCTGCGTGACTGCCGGCACCGCCAGCCGCTCCACGCGGCAACCGCGCTGTGTGTACCGACCGACCGAGTGAAATGTGCAACCATAAACACTAACCCTCACAACACACACACACCCACGCATGCAGGAAAAGGAAAAAGGGGGAGATGAAGAAGATGAATAAGAAAAAGCGTATTTACCTCGGCTGGGCTGGGCCACTATAAACTCTCTCTCTCTCTCGCTCTTTCTCTCTCTCGCTCTCTCTCTCTCCCCATCCTCCCTCTCTCTCTTTACTGTCCGTATCCTTCCGTGTGAGGGGGCAGTCGCTCTGCTTGCTCCTCCTGCTGTGCAGTGAATGAAGTAGTGCGACTTTGTAGAAAGGCCACCGGCAGGCGGAGGCAGGGCTAGTCGTCGCCGTCGTCTCTCTCTCTCTCTCTCTCTCCCTCCTCCTCCCACCCTCTCTCTGTCCTTCTCTTTCTCGCAGCCCAAAGCAGCTCACACACTCCCCGTTCTTCCTCTCCCTCCCCGGCTCCTTGTGACTCCTGGCTCTTTGTGGACGCGCGCACGCCGTCGCGGAGAGCGTGCGTGCGCAACGAGACGCACCTGCACGACAGGCACACTCTCTGCTCAGCCCCTCTCGAGGAGCTTTGCCTTGAGCGGAGCAGGCAGGGGAGTGCACTGGCGCGCGAGGCGGGCCGGGCCGGGCGCGGGGATCAGGATACCCCTCTTCTTTGCTTTCTTGTTACAGTTTACGTTGCCTTGAGCAGAGCGCCCCCTCGAGAAAACGCATAAGGCGGTGTACTTGATTTTTCCATGGAATTTTGGAGACCAATTTTTTTCTTCTCTCAGCCAAAATACTTCACCTAGAAAAGTGACGGCTCTAGCAACCGCCGTATGGTTGCCATTCATCATGACAAAATTTGACCCCCCCCCCAAAAAAAAAAAAAAAACACGCCAAGACTTGGCAGTCTTTGAAAGAGTGACAAACTTTGAAGGTAAAAAGAAATAACGTAATGACGAGCAAAGTGGCCACGGGGTTAAGAGAGCCCCGGCTGTCCTCGAGGGGCTTTCTCCCCTGTCCGTAGGTCACCAGGTGGAGCAAGACGAGGAAAACCAACCCAAATAACCGAGAAACCACGACGGTCCTCCCCGTGGTGCCCCGAGCCCACACCGCGATCCCCGTGAGGCGTGCTGCGGCCTGACTGGGCCTGGTCCCGGGGACTCCTCTGGCCGGGGTGGCGTCCCCCCGGGCAGAACGGGTCTCATCATCATCTGCGTCGTCCTGGCGTACTCGGAGGAGCAGGTCGGCCATCAAGTATTTACGAAGGGGATGGGGATGACCCGTAGCTTTTAGCGGCGGCGGCGCGCCCTGCGCCTCTGCCGCAGCTTTTGTGCCACGCGAAATAAACAAAATAAACGCGTTTTCGCATTCTGACTGCTATTTTTTGTCAAAATGTTAATATGTTTCCTGCTCCTGCTGCGGTAAAAGATATAGATTTTGATACATGAATATTTTTTTTGAAAAAAGAAAACGTGCGATGGCGGAAAACGAAAACTCTTCATCTTCAAACCAGGTCAGCGTTGGAAGTTTTGCCCCCGTGTTTTACGTCTTGTACCTCATCACGCCGCCCAATGGGTGGGGTGGAGGGGAGTAAGGCCAGGCGGGGCTTAACGGTGGGCGGCCGGGGCGAGGTTCTCTCTGCAAGGAGGACGGCGCGTCACCTCGTCTGGGCCGCCAGGCCTGACACCCCTATTCATGTCCAAGCGCAACACCCCCCGCCCGACGCCCTCGCCACGTCCCGACGGGATCACGGTCAGAATACCCCGGGGATCTGCCTGCTCCCTCTTCCCCCCACCCCCACGCGCACCTGGGTGACCAGCAGCAATAAGTAGGACATTGCGGAGAACGGTCAACGGTGAACAGAGTCATCTGAAAGTATACGACCGTCGTTCTCCGCCACGAAGCTGCCAAGTTCAGCCTACGGATGCAAGCTCTCATAGCGCCTGATGGATAGGCAAAATCTTATCTGTAGTACATGCGTGTCAGGCGGGATTGCCTACCCTAAGCCCCACAGGCGCCGAGCCCCCGTTATTTATCTAACGAGTCCCAGAAAAAAACGGGCGTAAAATGCTTTCTGTACGGTCCCAAAGGCAGCGTGGCGGTTCACTCCAAAGTTACTCCGCCGATATGATTCCGTGAAATAGGTCATCAGTATCCTGGAAGCGACTCATCTCTCTATGGATGCCGTGGGGATGCTTGTGTGTGATCGTGCGCTCGTGGAGCCCGCTATTGACTTAACCAAAGTCCGCGTGCGACTATTAATGGTTTTCTGTATGTGATGGAGGCAGAGAGAGAAGAGGGGCAAAGGGTGGGGGCTGTTGACGAGGAGGAGTGAAAACGAGTGTGGGTGTGAGGGAGAGAGATGGGCGATATGGGCTGCAGAAATCATCGCTGGGACAAGTTTGATCCTTTTGATGTTTGCTCTCCGATGGGTCCGAGCCCCCGCGGGCTGCCTGCGCAGGCTCCGCGAGTCCCGCGCTCGCACTGTGCTCATGATACTGATACCCGAGCACACGCGCGCACCACACAACGCCACCGGCCGCCGCCGCCGCTGCTCGGTCGAACTCTATGATCCCTGTGTGCGAACAGGGCTGTGGCCGATTAGCCTCCGTGCGCGCCGTTTGAGCCCCCCCAGCAGCGGGGAGGGCTGCGGCGTGCGGCGTGGGCCAGGGAGGGGGTACATTAGCGCGCCGCACACCGGATATCCGTGTTTCCGGCGCTGTCCGGCCTGGACCGGCGCGCACCGGCGGCGACGTGCTATACGCTACATGGGCGGGGTGAGGATGGGAACCATCAGCATGGCTGAGTGTGTGGGGGCGTGGCGGGTGCGCTTGAGATCAATTATTGCATGTATCCTACTCACACCGTCTGCTGCCGCGGACCAAAAGGTCAAACAGCCACTCACATTCGAGGACTCTCTTCACATTGCGTCAGGAAATACGACTTGGAGAATTTTATTTTCGACTGCCGTTGCCGTACGGTGTGAGGCATGGTGTGAGGCATGGTGTGAGGCAGGTCGCCGAGGTCGCCTCACTGAAGTTAGTCCGCATTCAGGGCCCGTCAATGCTGCTCGCGTGGCTATGCTCGTTTCCTGTCGCAACATTTTATTCGCGCATATGATGCTCATCGGAAACTCGCCCGCAGCGTCTCATTTTTCTCTTCTTTCTCAGATCGTAATACTGCCCCTTCTTCGTTCTCATG